AACCTTAAAGAATTGAGTTTCTTTAAAAAAAAAAAAAAAAAAAAAAGCAAGACATTCCAGGATTGGAAAGGGTTTATTTTCACCTAGAGCACAAAGTATAGGCTCAGAATATGGACTCTGGAGCCAGGTTGTCCTCTGGCTTAGCCATTTGCTTGTTGTGAGATCTTGGGCAAGTTACCTAACCTCTGTGTGGTGTTATGTCCAATGACCACCCCCAGTGACCACCAAGGAGTCCAGAGTGTATGCAACAGCAAAGAGCCTTTATTTGGGCTTAAGCTCAAGCCCTCAGATTTCACCAATGCAGTGGATCCGTACTGAAAGCCCCCAACTAGGGTGGGGTACGCTTTTATATGGACGTTTCACAGAAGCCCGCACACGCCAAACATCCTTTAAAATGATTGGATGGTCCTATGCCCTGAGTACAGGGAAGATTCTTATTGGTAGGGGCAGTCTTTAAGGCGTTGGAATGTGCTGTTATCTGTGGGGCCAGAATTTTCTGTTTTTACCTTATGAGGCTGCTATATGCCTGGGCTTACTTGATCTATAGCTTTCCGGGATGGGGGTGGTAGCTGAAGATTACAACATGCCTGAAACAGCTAGTCAAAATGGAGTTAGTGCCATCTTAAGCCAAGCAAATTACAGAAGCAGAAAGAAGTGGTTAGATGAGTCGGCGTCTCACAGTGGCATTTTCTAATTTGTGAAATGAAAACAGAGTTGTTTAGGGTTTATTTGACTTATTTACTTGTTTATCCTCTTTTTCTTTCTTTCTTTTTCCTCCCTCCCTCCTTTCTTTCTTTCTTCCTTTCTTTCTTTCTTTCTTTCTTCCTTCCTTCCTTCCTTCCTTCCTTCCTTCCTTCCTTTCTTTTCTTTTTTATTTCTCTATTATTTAGACAGGGTCTTGTAGCCCAGGCTGGCCTCAAACTCCCTACATAGCCAAGGATGGCCTTGAACTTCTCCTTCTCTTGTGTCTACCTCCCAAGTACTGGGATCACAGGCATCTGCCATCATGCCCAGTTTATATGGTGCTGGGGATAGACCCCAGAGCTTCATGTATGCCAAGCAAACACTTTGCTAACAGAACTCTGATCCCAGCCTTGCTAGAGGATTTAGTGAATTCAATTTATAAAGTATGAAGCATGTGCTAAGTTCTATATTAGGACTTACTAAACAGAGAAACAATTGTAGGATGTTATGTTTTTAATGACAGGGTCTTTTAGATTGAAGTACTTTCTTCAGTGAGGGACCCAGGTGCATCTAATGCAAGGCACCAGTGCTAAATAGGTTATTATAAGTTTTCTTATCTATCTGCTTATCAATAGAATCTGGAGACATGCCACTAGATATGAGTCATCTTAAAAAGAGTAGGTCCCTGCTTTCTGGAGGGGCAGCTTCTTGGGAGAGACATGGGCTCTGAAAATCAGTGGAACTCTGCAGTCAAATGTTTTTTGTGCAAATAAGATAAAGTATACCTAAGAAAAAATGTCAGCTCTCTGTTTACAATTCTTTTGGAAAAAAGAATTGACCATGTGTACACTTGCAAAAAAAAATAATTTAAAAAACAAGAGGGCTGGAGATTTAGTTTAGGTGATAGACTGTTTTCCTGTGATGTACAAAGCCCTGGAAGCATGGCAGCACATGCCTAGAATCCCAGCACCCTGGAGGTGGAGGAAGGAAGATCAGAAATTCATGGTTATCCTCAGTTACATATTGGGGTTCCAGGCCAGCCCGGGGTACATAAGACCTGGGCCAAAAAAAAAAAAAAAAAGTGACCAGAGAAATTTATTAAGACATTACCTCAGACCAAAAGGAAGTGTCTCATGTTAGCATATACTGAAGTATGGGCCAAGGAGATGGTTTTATTGGTAAAGGCTCTTGGCCCCCAAGCCTGATGATCAGAGTTTGATCCCTGGAACCCATATAGTGAAAGGTAAGAACTGACTCCTACAAGTTGTCTTCTGACTTCCACACTTATGCCATAGCACATGAGTGCACCAAAATAAATAAATGTAAAGAAAATAAATTAGAATATAGCCTTAGACTGTAAGAAAACAATGAAAGGAGAGATTCTATACCCTTAGAAATCTGACAATATAATTAACATATTAATAAAAATATTAAAAAAGAAACTCAGTAATATTTCCACTGATAAAAGTTAAGAAGCTGGGTA